TTGTGTCGTGTGTTTAACACAACTAAATCTCAATATAATTATTAGTTTCTATAATGTTATGATAATTTCATTTCCTTCCTGGCCTCAGGCTATTCCCTCTCTTTCTCTGTTAAGTCACTTTCGAGCCGTCATAAAAAGCATCTCAAACACCACCACTCGAACCCATTCCTCCGGTCCGAACCCATGAGATTCCGGTTAAATTGAATTCTTCTCATTTCTCTATTCATTGTCTTCTCAAACAACACATTCTCGTCATAACTATTCGTTCGGCTTTCAAATCACTATTCATTATGAGATTAAATCGTGATTTACATAACATTGTTAAGAAATTAATACATAAATTAGCATTTGTTTAGTATAGTGTTGAATAATTAGCTAAAATATTCAATTAATATGGGATTATATAGATTATTCTTCAGCTCTTAATTGTCGCCGAACTATATGTATATGTTTTAAAGAAAATGGAGTGTATGTATAGCCGATCCACACCAACCATACACTATATGATACACACATTGCATAGAGACTGTGGAGTTTGTTTGTCACTTCCGGTGCCGCAGACATTAAGCGACTGAATTGTCACATCGAGTGGTCTATGTTTTTGCACTCTAGCATTGGTGTAGTGTTACCATCGATGGCACCATAATTACAGTACATATTAAATTCTATACTCATTTCCATACAAATAACTGTCAAAATATTATAATTTACAACAGTATTGGTTAAAAACACATTACGTATATTAAAATAATTTATTTTCAGATTTCTTAATATTTTTCAAATCCTTTGACTTTATTTCAAGAGAAATAAAGTGTGTTTTCTGGCAAATATTGTCGACTTTCTAACAAAACTAAACTAAACGTTAAGTTTTAGTATTTTTGTAGAAAATAGTAAGCATTTCAGTATTTGTTATAAATTGAATGAGTATTGAGTGAAAAATATGTTTGGATCGGAAACTAACAAGGGAAATGCAAGTTTTTTCCAATTTACAATTAAATTTAATTCAGTTGTATGTGTAGATTGAGTGGGAATAAAAAATATAAATTCTAAATCTCGGGCTGATAGCCACAAACGGCCGAGATATGACCATTCTAGTGATCGCGCCCATACAGCGTATAGCAATGCAGTACTGGTGATTAGCCCAAGCACTGTGTGAAACACCTTTTTTCAATGCTATACGCCGTATAGACGGGATCACTAGAATGGTCATATATTGACACAATAAAACACTTTAACAGATAAATAGATTGTATTCAATGGAAACAAACAACAATTCATAAGAAATAAAGGAAACAGACAATCAAATTAAAACTACAAAATTTAATGTAAATGTTTATACAATTTGAAAAACAAATAAAATTATTATATATAAAATTAACATTTTTAATAAATAATTAAGTTTAAAGTCGTTTCAAGCTTAAACTTCGGGAAATATTAAAAATTAATGCCTTATTAAATGATAAATTATTATTTAAATTTAACTTAACTTTATTTTAATTTCATTGTTGATAATATAATAATTATTAAGTACTAACTTAAATCGTAAAATCATATAACAAATGCACAAATTATTGTTATCTGATATTTGAAACTTTAGACAAATTTTTAAAATTATTAAATGATTTTGTAATATTTGTTGATTTATATCAATGTTGATAATTAAATAACATACTATTGTTTTAAATATTTAGACAATTTATTTATTATTTTAAAAATTGATTGCAACCAATGAAACGAAATGTTTATAAAACTACTGTTTAATACATGTTATATTTTACCAATAAAATTATAAAATACTTTAAAATAGTTGTAACTCGTAAATACAAAATATTATTATAATTAATCAGAAAACTATTTCTAATTAATTCCTAAACTAAATATTCTTGAGCTCATGTTTCTATTTGTTTAAAGTCTGGACTCCAGTACAACACAAAGTATTAAGTTAGTTGTTTTATTAATAGTTAATTAGTAAGTTAATACTAATTGGAATTTTTGTGTTGCATTATGCAACTTGTATATAATTGTTAGAAATTATGGCAAATACTTAAATATAAATTATGAACACTATTTATATTTATGATTTATAAATGAAGTGCCGAACAGGTCTACCGTCTGTCCATTTGTTTCATAGAATCACAATTGGATGCAAAGTGTTGTTTGTATTGACAAAAAAGCGATCGAAACATAGAGATAATGAAAACGATTTTTGTGGCCTTGAGTTTGGAATCGGTTTTAAATGTATTCATTTGAAACGAGTTTTGAGTTTTGTCTTCCAGTCTTTCATTTGCCATAAGTCTTATATAACGGCAAACGCCTTAACCTTAGTTCCAATATATTGAGGCATAAGTTGTGAATCGGTTTTAAATGTATTCATTTGAAACGAGTTTTGAGTTTTGTCTTCCAGTCTTTCATTTGCCATAAGTCTTATATAACGGCAAACGCCTTAACCTTAGTTCCAATATATTGAGGCATAAGTTGTGAGTCATTTGAAAACTTCTCTTTTTTCTTCTCATTTCAGGGGAAGAAGTGCTCAGATTTTTAATATAAATTCGTAATCAAATACATTAAACATTATATTTAATAAAATAAATAAATAATACTTTTGTTTGCATCACATAATTATAATATTCTCTTTAATTCAGCTTAAATTAAATACTATTACATTATTATTAAATTAAAAAACAGTTGTATTTGAAATTTAGATGTATTTTAAATTAATTTGAGAGCTGTTTATCATTTGGATAGCAGAGAACAACTCAATAAATAGTAATTTTTCTAAAATAATAGATTGTTTAAAATATAAGTACAAAATAAAACAAGACTTAAAAACAAATCTAAAAAGTGCTGCTCTTTTTTGCATAGGATTTGTTGGAAAGTAATTCAAAAACAATTTAATTTAAATTTAAGTCCCTTTAAGAGCTGCCCAAAGCTTGGATATAAGAGAAGAATTGGCCGTTCATTAAATGGCACAATGAGTGAGATCTGTGTATACGTTATGATTATATCAATAATTATTAATATATATATATATTTATATAAATTTACAACAAATTCTGTTATTTTTGACAAATCGTAATATAGGGCTGATTGAGGCACGTCTTCAATGGCATTCATTTATAAAAATTATTCCAAAAAACATTTACAGCTTTTTATGGCAATTATGGTGACAATCAGACAAATGAAAGAATGAAACAAATATTTATATTATTAATAAATGAATCCATGAATGAGTTTTAATGCTATGCTATTAATATGTTTTCTATTAATCCTTCACTAATCGGTAGATATGATGTTGAGTTCCAGTTGTTTCCGACACTTCAAACACATATGCAATACATAAAAGTGTTTCCTGTGTTTCGCGGTTCGTCACAACCTATCAAACAATGAGACAATCAATCAAAACAATCAAACAAATGATAGTTGAATGGAGAGTGGATGGGATGTTAAAGGGATAGTACTGTACACTCACTTGCAATATAGTGAAGTTCTCGAGAACAGAGTTCATCATATATTTTTCGGGCAAGTTTTTCAATTTATGTATGAAATTAATCATATATTCACACATCGGAGACCTATGTATGCGGTATACGAACCGTCCGTTTTCAAAGCGCGCGTATTCTGTCTGTAAACGACAAACACATGTTAAGTTTCATTCAAATCAATGTCTGGTTGTTATTGTCATTACTTCTACTTTTTCGACCACTTGTTTGCCAAAAGAGCACACTTTGGTAGAGCAGGTGATCGTCATATTCTCATTGCTTTCGTACTGAGAAGTGACGCCATAGAAGGCTCCGGACTCGTCCAATAGTGAAGTGTTGAGATCTGCCCAAAACTTCACCAAAAAGAATGCATTTTGTGGTCCCTTATCGTACAGCTCTTTGAGTCCGCCTTTCTTTTCGGGGAACTTATCATAAATCTGTCGAATGTCTACCGATTCTAGCATTGGGTCGGCATATGTGGGAGAAATGATACCGATGTGAACGAACAGGTGTTTGTCACTGTCGTTGTCGTGTCTTTCCATGAAAGCCGAGAACTCAACTAAACGTAACTTATGGGTAGCGATCGCTCGGCCCTCCCATGCGGGCCCAGAATTCAGGTTATTGTTGCTATTATTGACGTATTGACCACCGGTTGGAGCGTTGAAAGGCTTAATGTCTTCATTATTCGTAGGGCCGGCCGGTTGCCAGAACTGTGCACAACATATATTGGTTAGCATTTATTATAAACCCAATCATTATATTATAAATATATACCGGCGATGGGGTGTAAGGCGTAACCGGAGGTGCAGTTAATCCAAGAGTGGCGAGTCCTGCGGCAGCGGCGGCCACATGAGTGGCCGCGTGATGGACGTGATGTGCGGCCGCTTTGTTCTGAAGTGCGGCGATTTGGGATGAGGTCAACGATTGCAATGCCTTCTCTTTAACGGACTGGTCCTGAGAAGAGTAAAATAGAGAGACTATCTGAGCGCTGGACATCGAGGACATGGATGACATCGATTGAAGCGCTGCCTCTTTATGTACGGAATCCTATTGGGGGCGAAGAGAACAGAACCAAACAAAAACAAACCAAAGTTGCGGAAAAGTGCAAACAATAGGGAGAGGGAGAGAGAGAGGGAGAGCGAGAAAGGAGTAAATGCAACCAAAAGAACGGAATGCATGCGAAACCACACAATAGGATGAGATGTACAGTAATGAGAATGACATGCTTTACTGCCAGTGCTATCATGTGTTCATTGAGTTTATATTACATAAAATCAATATAATGTGTGTTTAATATGTATAATATTTAGTGTTTTATGTATTTAAGGGTTGAATAAGAAAAGAAATAAATGTTTCAATTATTTAAAGAGTAAGTCATCTGAAAAATAATCCACATTTAAAAAGAGATGCAAAGAGTGAAAGAGTGGGTTGAATGCATACAATGATAGGTATAATAATAGCAGAATTTCCTAAATTAAAGTGCAGTCATAAACAAATCTGAGAATAACTTAGTTTGCAATCATATGATAGAGTGAAGTGAATGTGTGTTTGAGTTGTTTGTGTCGAGTAATGGTTAGGGGTATGGAAGCGATGGAAGAGCGCCAATAAAATTGCAATTTTGACAAAAAATCTCAAATTCACTGTTTGTTCACTCATTTCGAGGTTTAGTTTGAGAGGTTATATAAGAGACAGCGTTTCTAATCGTTTTTTAGTTCAATACTATATTACAATCAAATATATCGATACTTACGGTCGACACTTTAATTTTGGATTGAATTTCACGGGCTTTCCTTCGGGCCAACACTTGTATATGACTAGAGACTTGTTTTCGGGTCCGGGTTTTGCCGGTTCGCAGCTTAATATACCGAGCGATCAACTCATTCCGACCTAACAATGTGTGCAATAAATTTTTATTTAAATCTGTTTTATTAAAAGAGAGTAGTATTTCATTTGAATAGATGTGTGAATCGTTGTAAATATAGAGTACAATCATTGAGAAAAATGTAGGGCTCGTACTGAAGGAAATAGTAGTGTATCGGGCCTTCCCTTCCTTACTATACTTTAGAAACTCAAATCAGATGCAAAGCAATGGTTTGAACGTTGAGTCGGGGGGTTATTGGCATTTGTGGCAATTTGTGGACAATAGGTGCACACAAATGATCAATTGGTTGCTTGGGTTCAGGTGTATGCCATTCATATAGAAGTGGGTTTCAGTTGGAATATTGAGCTACAGTTGGGTCACTAGTAATGGCAGATAAGAACTAGATTTGGTTCAGCCTTACAGTAGACGCCTTACAGCTGTCCTCTTGTCGTACAATACATGGAAAGTATGGCACATATGGAGGAGAGAATGGCTTTTGTATTGAGGATTTGAAAAGCAATGTTTAAATTTTCAAATCTAAGGTAATTTAAAAACTCTTTGAATACAACGATCTTTTTTATATATAGAAACAGAAGCAGAACCAGAATTGAGGGACGATTTTTGTATTACATCTTTTATTATTGAAAAAAAACTATTTGAGTAAATATTTCGTGAACACGAATATAACGCATATATAAATATAACAAACAATAGCTATGTTAGAATCTCTGGTAACTTTCAGACAATACATTAAACTACTGAAGAGTACCATATATTATATACAATACTAGACTTAAATGCTATTTAATATAAAGTTTATTATTTATTTTCATATCACTATAGAATGAATTACATAACAGTTATTTATATTAGACTCGTTTTTGTTATCATTTCTATAGAATATAACGAATATAATCAGTAAACGTATTCATGCAATGGGTTTGGTTTGGATAACCATCAAGTGGGTTTCAGTTGGAATATTGAGCTACAGTTGGGTCACTAGTAATGGCAGATAAGAACTAGATTTGGTTCAGCCTTACAGTAGACGCCTTACAGCTGTCCTCTTGTCGTACAATACATGGAAAGTACGGCACATATGGAGGAGAGAATGGCTTTTGTATTGAGGATTTGAAAAGCAATGTTTAAATTTTCAAATCTAAGGTAATTTAAAAACTCTTTGAATACAACGATTTTTTATATATAGAAACAGAAGCAGAACCAGAATTGAGGGACGATTTTTGTATTACATCTTTTATTATTGAAAAAAACTATTTGAGTAAATATTTCGTGAACACGAATATAACGCATATATAAATATAACAAACAATAGCTATGTTTGAATCTCTGGTAACTTTCAGACAATACATTAAACTACTGAAGAGTACCATATATTATATACAATACTAGACTTAAATGCTATTTAATATAAAGTTTATTATTTATTTTCAGATCACTATAGAATGAATTACATAACAGTTATTTATATTAGACTCGTTTTTGTTATCATTTCTATAGAATATAACGAATATAATCAGTAAACGTATTCATGCAATGGGTTTGGTTTGGATAACCATCACAACAGTGCTGTTGAGGAAAGGTATGGATACTGTACGACAACTCTAGCACTACATGTATTGAGTAATGATAAACGCCTAGCAATAGTTACGCCAAACATTATCTATACGTTTATACAATACAAAAAATACTTATGAGTGAAATGCAGTCAAATATATATACTTTATATTTATATATATTATGGCGTATTTATACGTGCATTATATTTATAGCCATATATACACTGGAATTTGTATATAAAAATATATTCAAAGTTTGTGTGGAATGTAAAGAATGCCAACTCATAAGCGAAATGCAAGCCATGCGATGCTATGGGACAGTATTGCAGAGTCTGTATAGTCTGTTCAGTAGTATTGCTCTGCTTTACGATTGCAGACACAGATAGAGAAGATAGAGTGACGTAAGGGATGCTAAGCTCAGATGCCTATTGGATGCAATGCACCATCAAATAGGACTCAGAGGCAGAAGAGAGGAGAGAGTGGAGTAATAGCGCTGTTGTAACGAATGCCGTATCCAAGGAGTAAGGAATGCCAAGAATGTCAGCGATTTAATTACGTTCATCGCATCAAACTTTGAACACATCACTACTCTCTCCCTCTTCTCTTCACAACACATTCAATACGCTTTTCCATTACTTCTAACTTCTCTTAGTTTCCGATCCAAACATATTTTTCACTCAATACTCATTCAATTTATAACAAATACTGAAATGCTTACTATTTTCTACAAAAATACTAAAACTTAACGTTTAGTTTAGTTTTGTTAGAAAGTCGACAATATTTGCCAGAAAACACACTTTATTTCTCTTGAAATAAACTCAAAGGATTTGAAAAATATTAAGAAATCTGAAAATATATTATTTTAATATATGTAATGTATTTTTAACCAATACTGTTGTAAATTATAATATTTTGACAGTTATTTGTATGGAAATGAGTATAGAATTTAATATGTACTGTAATTATGGTGCCATCGATGGTAAGTAACACTACACCAATGCTAGAGTGCAAAAACATAGACCACTCGATGTGACAATTCAGTCGTTTAATGTCTGCGGCACCGGAAGTGACAAACAAACTCCACAGTCTCTATGCAATGTGTGTATCATATAGTGTATGGTTGGTGTGGATCCGCTATACATACACTCCATTTTCTTTAACACATATAACATATAGTTCGGCGACAATTAAGAGCTGAAGAATAATCTATATAATCCCATATTAATTGAATGTTTTAGCTAATTATTCAACACTATAATAAACAAATGCTAATTTATGTATTAATTTCTTAACAATGTTATGTAAATCACGATTTAATCTCATTATGAATAGTGATTTGAGAGCCGAACCAAATAGTTATGACGAGAATGTGTTGTTTGAGAAGACAATGAATCGAGAAATGAGAAGAATTCAATTTAACCGGAATCTCATGGGTTCGGACCGGAGGAATGGGTTCGAGTGGTGGTGTTTGAGATGCTTTTTCTGAGGGCTCGAAAGTGACTTAACAGAGAAAGAGAGGGAATAGCCTGAGGCCAGGAAGGAAATGAAATTATCATAACATTATAGAAACTAATAATTATATTGAGATTTAGTTGTGTTAAACACACGACACAATAACTCAGATCTATGTTCAACATCACGATCTGCTCCACTACTAAATAGTCTCTCATATTAACAACAAAATCAGTTAATACTTATACTGTATTTGAGAGTAAAAATAATTCTCTTCTAACCTATGATGAGATGCACACCAATGAGTGATTCACTCCTTATTTTATGCCTAATTCTAGGCTCGCTTTAGCAGATCGACGACTAAAACCACTTATTCTTGTTATGGTTTATGAATTCATTTAATAGTTTTGACAAAATTTTATGTTTTTAATAATTTTCTTATAAATCGCTTAAAATAATAACACTTTAAATATAAACACAAAATTTTCTTTCAGTTGAAATCATTGTACAAATAATTATTAATTTAAACAAAATTATACATTGGAAAACTCGCATTCAGATCGAGGCCCACAAATAAGTCAAAAAACTTTAAATTTTAAAAATTAGTTTATTATCGGATATACTGTACGATTCGAGTGAAGGACTTCATAATTAATTACAACTAATGTTAAATCATTTACAGTATTATATGTGAAGGACTCGTATGTTTGGGTCAAAATAAAAACAATATAAAGCAAACAGTAGTTAAACACATTGTGAGCCCTATTTAAATAGCTGATTGGTGTACAGGGTTTTGGTTCATTATAGAGAGTTGATTGTATAGACAACTTTCACTGTATTTATAGAGAGACCAAAAGAACATTGAAATACCAATTATGAGCCATAACTTATCAAAGCTTTCAAACAACTCTTGCCATTAATATAAATTCAAAATCAAAAACAAATCCATATATTATTGTGTGATATATTTGTTTTGCATAAAACCTATGCTAAGTTTGAAACGAATATTAATATTCTGTTGCTTCAAATGTTTTAATTTAAAGTTTTCCTGAATTTCTTCTTCTCTCGCAAAACAAAACAAAATGATTAGTCATTTCATTTGCAATCATTTTTAATGATATTTATTATTTTCTCGTATGTTATCATAAGTTATACAAACCTTAAACTCATTTTTGTATAAATTTTCAAACTTGAACTTCAATTCAAAACAAAAACTTGCATTTCTTTTGTCATTAAAAATGAGAATCAAATTTACACAAAATAGTGTTAAACATATAAAAGCAAATTCAGTGTAAACTAATTAATTCGCACAAAACTGCATAATTATCGATAGTATGTGTGAAAATAGATGCTAATCGAGATGTTGAGCAATTAATTGCAAAAACGATTCAAAACTATTGGATATTATTGTGTAAACGAAATGGATTGAAATCGTCAATCATATGATTGGAGGCATTGTTTGGCATAAATGGCAAATAACATGACATTGGATGGGATATGGGATCTCGACTTACCATACATTTTGCCCTCATCTGAGAGAATGATTTTGCGTCGACCACAGGGCGGATATATGGCGAGCGCCTCCTGGAAGCTCTGCTCGATGTCTGGACTCCAGACTCCCTCGGCGTCAGAGCCACCACCAGAACCGTTGAGATCACCGGAACCACCTTTAAGTGAGCCATCTTTGCTCGAGTCGTCGTCATGCGAGTCGTCGGACTCGGCATAATGTGGTGGTGGCGGCGCTCCCCCTCCCCAACCCGGTGGTGCCGCTCCGCCCGACATTAGAACCACAATTGTTGCAGCTATTGATGTATCGATGTATTGACGAAACCGTGATTCGAGTCGAGGATTAATAATTAAAAATAAAATTAAGTCAAAACTAAGTGTAAACTAAACTTCAAAATCAAATAAAAGAAAAACTGGTTTTACAACTCCTTGTGTTAAACAGTGTATTCTGTTAGCCATAGTGTTGGCCATTGTGTGCACTAACTATAAGTACACTATACAGGGCTATGCTGTGTGTGTATAGTGGAGGGTAGTGTTGGCCCAGACATTGAAACAGGTATTGCAACTCAACAGCACTTCCAATAATAGTGTAATCATAATAATAAGAGACCGGAGAGAGCGAGAGGAGAGGGAGAGAGAGCAAGAAAGAGGGAGAGAAAGAGAACGACAGGTGAGTTGTGAGCACTGGAACAGAGGGAGAGGTAGTGAAGGGAAAGGGAGACACAACCACTGCCTGAGAACTGCAGCCATAAGTTTAGCCAATATTTTATAAGAAAAAGACTCAAAACTGAACGGAAACTGAAGGCAAGTCAACAACAGCTCTGAACAAGTGATTCAACTCAAAGACCAGTCGACTCAACACATCCATGACTTCACAGTCCTCTACAGTCCCAACACCACAAAGAGAGGACCAAACAAGGGATACACGAGAGAGACCAAAAGAACATTGAAATACCAATTATGAGCCATAACTTATCAAAGCTTTCAAACAACTCTTACAGTCCTCTACAGTCCCAACACCACAAAGAGAGGACCAAACAAGGGATACACGAGAGAGAGAGAGAGAGAGAGAGAGAGAGAGAGAGAGAGAGGCGAGAGCTACAGAAAAGGCAGATCTGGTTAATAGCGGCTAATAATCGGTACGAAATAAGTGACTAAAAGTGTGAACGAGTTGTCAGTAAATAATGAAAAGACTTTATTATAATAATAGAGGAAAACAATGGTTTGACTATTGAGGCGAAGAGAGGGTCTCTCAACATATGTCTGGCAAATGAGTGATTGAAACCATGTTTTGATGAAATTGTGTGCAAAATATGTATAAAATAGTTGTCATGAAATGATAGGAACGGTAGGAATGGGAGGCTTTGGCCGATCGTTAGTCCAATGGCTTATATGTTATAACACAACACAACACACACTCTCTCAACGCAATCAACAGTTGCTCTGAAAATGCATTCAAATATGAATTCACTTTCCATTCATTCGCACATCACTTGAGTTCACAACACAATCACTAATACTATTACTGTATTAATCAATTCATAACCATTACTAACCATTACTATTACCACTAATTAATACTAATACTAATAATGACAATAACTTACCAGCGATTCAATGATGGCGTGATTTTGAGGGCAAGAGTGCTGAGATGTGGAGAGAAATGGATTGAAAAGTTGTTTTCCACACAAAAATCTTTTGTATATATTTTGCACTGTTTTTAGAGAGAGTTTTGCTTTTGGTTTGAAAGGAATGGCAAATATTTGTGACAAAGAATGCCAACAACTCTAACACCGCATCAAACCATACATTCATCCAATACTACAACCAGCGCTACGCCAGCCCTGACGTCAACCCATACCCACCCACGCCCGGGCCAACACCGCTCCCCCACTCACCCCTCACTCCCGCTCTCAACCACTGCTCCCCCGGAGCCCAACCCTCAGACCCAACGCTTACAACCGGTGACTGACGTCACGACTCGCTGTCTATCGCTATTCGTCGTACGGATTGTGACGACCGATGACTCAGTGCGAGCGTACAGAAGCCGCGCGATTGTTGTGGCGATCATTACGTACTAAATGAATGCGTTTTGTCTACAAATGCATACAATTCTATACAAGTTTTAATGAAATACTTTTCGCGCATTTCTTTGCACTTCTTTTCGATCCGAGAAATGAGTATTAATTTTGACGTAAACTTTGAGTCAAGTCTTCGAGTCTTACAACAAAACCGATAATCCATTCAATTCTATGTCTCTCTCTCTCTCTCTCTCTCTCTCTCTCTCTCTCTCNTTAGAGTTGTTGGCATTCTTTGTCACAAATATTTGCCATTCCTTTCAAACCAAAAGCAAAACTCTCTCTAAAAACAGTGCAAAATATATACAAAAGATTTTTGTGTCGAAAACAACTTTTCAATCCATTTCTCTCCACATCTCAGCACTCTTTGCTCTCAAACTTGACATTCATTTGAATGAATAATTGAATGAAAAGTACAAAACATATGATAAACAGAATTGAAAGTTGTTTTTGAATTAACAATAGTTTTAAATGAATGGAAAAAGTGTTGGAAATAATGAAATGATTGCTATATTTGAGGCAATAATAGCCGAAAGGCATTAAGACATGACTAATACTGAGCACAAGAACTAATGTTTTGCATAAAGTCTTTGCATTAGTTTTTAGTGGATTTTGATATTCATTTGGTTTGAGTATTGGTTTTGAAACTCGTTTTGAAACAACTAGCTATAGACGTGTTGCACACCTGTGCAGCACTACCTGTGCAACAGTGAGTCCAGTCCACCAGTCTTTGTGGCAACCATTAGGTCTTAAGCTGTTATGCAATGCAAACGACTGTCTCTTTGTTGGAGTAATTGGTTGATGGGTTTGGGGGTCAGAGTTGGCTCCACTTCACCGCTGAGGGGATTATCTGATAGTTTGAACGCTTTTAGCAAATTTGTGATCAAATGATGATATGATAGCAGAAGAGCTCTCTCTTAAGGCTCTTAACACAGCATTCGTGGGAACGATGGGAACGATTCTCAATACAAATCATCGCAAACTTTATGCTAATTGTGAGCATTAAAAGCAAACATTTAATTAACTCAATACTGTCTGCTATGAGGGGTCACATCAGTGATGGCCAGAGGGACCACTTCTTGCCAACCCTTTCCCCACACTTTTCATCGGCGAAACGATTATTAAAAATTAAAAAAGTGTTTTAATTAATGAAACACAGGTTTAATTAGATTTGTTTATAAACTCAGGGTTTGGTAACCAAACTTTGGTTACAACCAAAACGATAAATTATAACATAATTTAATGCATTAATACAGTATAGAAACTTAATACAGTAAACCATTATGATAAACGCATAGAGATAGCTAATAGAAACGAATGAGATTGACAAACTAACCAATAGTTTACGCAAAACTTTATATCCATTCTGTTTATGATATAATGACCATGGTGCGACATTGGTTTTTAAATATGTTTTATTTATTAATAATTAAAAGTAATTATATTTGACTCAAACATTATCCTAAATGCGAGAAACCATTTATTTCATTACATTTAAAAGTCAATTAAAATGATTAAATGTGTAAATAAGCTCGAGTTTAGTACCGGATGTGATATCACTGATGTAACATTTGATATAAATATATAAGTTTTAATAATAATAAAACATTTATTGAAATTTAAGTTTACTTTCGTTTAATTATAATTGTTTTTGAAGTGCAGTCAAGCGATTGAACAAAATTATTGTTATAGTGTTATAGAGTTATAGTTATAGTGATTTCAAACTCAATGACTAATCTCTTGTTATCACTAAAAACACAATTCGTTTTCCCTAACAATTAGTTAACAAAACTATTTCTGATTAACTATTAAATCTATTTAATTCACTATTTTTGCAGCACTTTTACTTTAAATTAATTATTTCCAGAAATGATTTGAATTTTACATAAATTCAATTTTAACAAGAAATCTATTTTTTGCATATAATTAACATTATCTTAGTATTTATTATTAATTGTAAGTTATGTTGAATTGTAATTTACTTAACGTCTACTTTACATTTGTTGTGTACACATTATTTGTCTAATTTTTAACTTACAAAATGTTAGATTATTATTTTTATTTCTATTTGCGGAATATTCTGTAATCTAAGAATATTACTAATACTGTATTATCTCTCTCTCTCTCTCTCTCTCTACGATTGTTGTGTGTCTTTGAAAATAGTTTTGTGCATTAAAATAAGTGTCGATAAGAATCTCTCATATAAAA